GATGAAAACTACTTAGGTAAATAGCAATGAATTCCTCCTCCTTAAATGGCCTTTCTGGGTGCTGGTACATGATGTGCCCTGGTGTGTCCCATCTACTGAATAAAGGGTGGGAAGATTAGGAGATCATGGTCCAAGGGCACGCTGGGTACTGTTCGGAGGGGAGCTGGTATGAACATCTAAGACTTGTGGAGAGGTGAAAGAAGCAGCTGAAAACCTGAGGGGACAAAAGCCAGAGAAGAGATGAAAAATGGTTTTATAGGGAACCTTGAAACTCAAAGATTTTTTTTTTTTTTTTTTAACCTGATTTCTAGAGGAGAAAGCCCTGGGTAGCAAAGAGAAACAATGTCCCTCAGGCATGAACATTCACTTCACAGGAGCTTTAAAAACTTCATATTGCTTTAAAAAATGCAATTAACCTTCCACCAGTAACGTGCACCTGAACAGTCTGATGTGTGCATCTGCTCCATCCCATCTCCTCCGGTTTCCCCTCAGGAGGTGAGATTCATCTCCCTCCCAGCAGACGGAGTTGCACCTTTGCTAAGGGGGAGATCTGTGGCTGCTGCACTGATGAGCAATTCCTGAAATCCCCCGACGTTAGCTGCCATCTCTATTATTGTGGCTACAGAAGGGTTATTTTATATTTCCAGGATATCGGTGTGGTTGGTGTGGCCACATCCTCTTTCAAGTCATGCAGGAAGGTGGCAATTGCTCTCATGGGTTTCAATACACGGCGTGGCAAAGCATGATTTTGCAAGTGTCACACCGAAGCTTATCGGCCTGTAGCCTGTTCCCGAGATACCCTTCTTCCCCAATGCTCAGTGATGCTGACTCCTGCCCATTTGATCTGCAGCGCTGCCTTTTGACCCAAGCGATGCAGAGCAGAGACAGGGGATGGGGCAGTACGTGAAGCTGTGCTGAAAGATGCAGGACCTACAGAACCGTGAGCCCTGATTCCCCCAGGGAAGGAGGCTCTGCCATCCCCACTCACTGCAGGTGCATCTTCCCTTCACGATGCTCCACGCGTTGCCAGGCTTCATGGTCTCTTCCCACTGGAGTGGCAGTTCCAGATTTTCATAGAATCACAGAATGGTTTGGGTTGGAAGGGACCTTAGAGACCATCTAGTTCCAACCCCCCTGCCATGGGCAGGGACACCTTCCACTAGACCAGGTTGCTCAAAGCCTCATCCAGCCTGGCCTTGAACACTTCCAGGGATGGGGCATCCACAGCTTCTCTGGGCAACCTGTGCCAGTGCCTCACCACCCTCTCCAGGAAGAATTTCTTCCTTACATCTGATCTAAATCTCCCCTCTTTCAGCTTAAAGCCATCATCCCCTGTCCTGTCACTACAGGTCCTTGTAAAACATCCCTGTTTTTCTTCTATTAAAGTTCAAATCAGCTAAACTAGATACAAGATTTGCAAATGGAGCTCAGGAAGTTGCTGCCACACCCTTTGTGAATAAACAATCGCACCTAATCTTAGTGCTTTACATTAATTAGTAGGGGAGGAACTGTGTCACCTGTGCATGTCAATGAAGTCAGAAGTGTCACCCAGAGATGGGGGCTGAATTCAGAAAAGCGCAATTACCAAAGCACTCGGGTCTAATGTGTCTCTCAAAATCTCCACATCAATAAATCCTATGGCCTTTAGCCAAGTGCTGTCATCCCCCAAGGGATCCTGGTGAGAAGATCCATCCCCAAAGAGGAGGCACTGAGGGCATTCTGGCTTCTTAACACTTCATTTCCAGGTCTGGAGACCCCAAAGTTTCTTATCAGGCTCTAGCAAGTCGTTTCTGCTTTTTTTTTTCATCGTGCCCTCCACTTGGGAGGAGTACAGGAGCTTTCTGGCTGGTTTTGGCTTCCCCTGCAGCAAGGTCAGAGGTTCCCTGGGTGTCATCGGGGACTTGGTGTGCAGCAGACAGCTCCTGTGGGAGCAGAGGAGGCCAGCAACGCCTCAGCCCACCCTCTGGTGTGCTGTGCATCTTTTGCATGGCCACTCTAATGCCAAGCGATGGAAACGCCCGGTGGGATGGATGGGTAGGGAGCAAGGAGCGCGCGTGCGTGCGTGCATGGGCTCAGTGCGTGTCCCACGCAGCGGCTGTTGCAGGCTGATGGCCTGGTGGCACTGGTGATGACAGGCTTGGGGAGCTGGCAGTGCCACAGCAGCTGTGCGCAGGAACCAGCTTTCTTCATGTTTTATATAAAAGCTGATTTTATTTTTTAATCTCGGCTGTCTGCTCTGCCTCCAAGGAGAGGCAGACAGCAGCATCAGCAGAGGTTGTAACGATACAGAAAATCCAGCCACACTGATCTCAAAAAAATTAATTTTCTTAGTTTATAGGAGTGCTGTTTATCAGTACTAATCTAACACTGTTACCAGAAGGCATTCATGCAACCTTCTGAAAGTACTTGGCTATGTGTAAGATGCCACATATAAATAAATGCCATTGTAAATGTCAAGTCATACAGGAACATAAATAAATTAGTTTCCTGGGCTCATTAGAGCTGAAAGCCGGGCTTTTGTAGCAGGATGAAGAGAATTGCACAATGCAGTTCCATGTGGCTTATGAAATGTGTATGAAAACCATTTTCTCCTACCCATTCTAATTATGATATATAAATAGATTGACTATTTTCCTTCGAGCACTTACTTAGCTGGAATCTTTTTTTTTCTAAAGACCAGTGCAATCACTTGTATGATGCATTTCTCTAGGCCCTTAACAGATCCCTAAATCAAAAGGCAATTATTTATAGCAGTAACATGACCTTTCACTAATTGGGAAAGAGAATGTTGCACAATAGGTGAAAGTTGTCGTGAGTGTTCAGAACTGTCAGAAGTCATTTTAGCATTTGGCTTTCAATTCTAACTGGCATAAGTATTTAAATGATGTGTAATAGTTTTTAAATTATGTGTGCATATGAGGTTTTATGGGAGCATTAACGTTCTTGTGGAAGGAGAGGGAGGTTTGCACTACCCATGGCCAGGCAGCAGAACAAAACCAAAGCACTGTTTTTTCACCCAATAAACAATTTTGTCACATAACCTGTTGGCAGAGGACGACTCCTGCATCCATCTCACCACGGGCATCAGCAAAGCCCCAGGTTTAAGAGCAGCTGCTAGGAGGGTAAATGGGGGTCAGCAGGACCGGCTGGGGCCAAATGGTGGTGGGCTGTATCTGCTAAAGACTCATATGGGCAGGAGGAGTCAGCAGAGATAGAGGAAGGGGGATGCCAGAGCAGTAAGGATGAGATATATGTCAAATATATGTATTTTTATTATTCAACATTAAGACTGCAGTAGTTCTTAGAGGCTGACGTTTTGGACCTTGTTATACCAGGTACCATAAACACGGTGCACAGGACAGTCCTTGCTCCAGAGACCAAGGGAAGGCAGGCTATGAGACTGCTCTACAGCCCAGAGGGTGCCTCTGCTTCTTCAGCTTGTCTGTAGTCCAGCAAGACCCTCCCTACCTGGAACCGGTGGGCAACATTCACCAACACAGACTGGGAGGAGTGGAAGAATTAGCCCTTTGAAAGAGTACGTAGAACTACATGTGGCAATGCAGTAAACAACAGCCAGAGACAGAATAAATGAGTCACTTTTCTAGCGTATTTGAATACTGTTTAAATATAAACATTGCAAATTAATATCTCTAACTGAGAAAAAAATAAAATTGGATGCAAAAATACACCAATGGCATATGCGTATAAATATATGACGTGGTTTGCACAGTCATTATGCGTCCTCCTTACGGGCTGACTTTCTAGAGGCTGGTACAAAAGTTGAAATATCAAAAAACAGAAATGAAAGGTCTTCAGCTAAACACATTGCTGCTTTGGCAAGTGATTCACTTCCCAAAAACCTGGGCTGTAAAAACGAAACATAGTTTCACAACAGATCCATTTGTTTTCACATCATACCTACCTCACCGCATGAGGTTAAAGAGTGAGCAAGGAAACGGTGGTGCATACAGAATGCCCAGTACATTATAATGGCGTTGGAGCCCAGTTCCACCACCCATTCAAAGCCTGTGATGCTAAGGGCATCTGGAGAGTTTTCTCCCCAACGAAGATGGCTTAAGCAATATACAAAGTGCTTTACTAGATGCTTATGCCACACCATCCACTGCAACTGGCGGTTTGCTCCTAACCCTCTGGCAGCAGGGTGCCACTCCAATGCAGATGCACTGGATGGGGTCACTGCAGAGGGCTGGCAGCTGCCGGGGGGGTCAGATGCTCCCACCTCACAGAGGTGAAGGACTCCCAGACGGAATGCTGCTGCGGTGCCAGAGGGGGCTCTGTGGGGCCAGTTCAGAAACCCTGATGCCCGTGGGCAATGCTGCTGCATGGGGCACAGGGTGCAACCAGGGCCATGCCAAACCCAGATCTGGGGGTGCTGCAGCGCAGCGGGACAGGGGGAGTCCTGGCATGACTAGGCAACAGCTCCTCCTGACCCAAAACCTGGTGCCTCGCCCATCAGCCTCACACAGCCAGCCTTGCCCAGCTCAGAGGAAGGCAGATGGGGTGCAAGCATGCTCACATGGCACTTTTCTAACATCTCTACATTTTTGTTTCAGTTTTTGTTTCCCTCCATTTCCTTAGAAGACAAAAAGCTACGTAGGAGGTGCCCGCTCGGTCTGGGCTAGCGGGGGAGTCAGCGACGTGGCCTTCACAGTACCCCGTGAGGTAGACGGAGGTCAGAGAACCAGGGCAGTGTCCAGACGGAGAACGTGGTGGCACCAAGGAGACCTCAGATGGAGTCTGTGACTTCTGCAGGGAGCAGCCCCCATCCTTGCGAGCACCGCACCCCCTGCGGGTGTCCCCCTTCCCAGCCGTGCATGGGGGACAGTGATTTCCATAGAAATGCTGAGCGCCAGATTAGGACAAAGTACTTTCTGTAGGAAAAGTTGGTGCTGGGTGCTGTGCCTCGCTCCAAGGGATGGTCTCTGTCCCTAGCTTAGCCCACAGTCTGGCATAAAGCGGGTGCCAAGGGGTGCCGTGGCCTAGGACACATTTATGTTGGAGAAGAGCGTGGCCGCGGGCAGCGTAGATGCCGTGCTGTCTGCCAAGTAGCCCAGGATGCTTTTGCGTTCGCTGTGTGACAGATTGGCTTTGATGCACAGGAACGCTTCCAGGTGCTTTTTGCTGCGGAAGAGAAAGGGGCAGATGTCACCTCCTCCCGCAGATCTACAGGTGCCGGGTCCCTTGTGCCAGGATGCGGCCCTCCACCCTGTGATGGGTGGCATCTGGTGGTCTAACACAGGATCCAGCACTGTCTGGGAGGTTTGGGGTAGGGTAGGCAGTCTCCAAGGCAAAGGAAAAAATCAGGCCAGAATTTGGAATATGTAAGATATGTAAGTAGGTTTTTTTTTTTTTTTTTAACAGTTTATTTTGTTGCCCAATGGCACTGGGATGGCCACAGCCTGGCAGGCATCCCCCACCCCTTTCACACACTCAGGCTATATGAACCCCACCTCTGCTCATATTTGACTGTTTCCTGGCTCAATTAAAATCCCACACGAGTATTTGCAAATCTGTTTCAGCGTCTCTTACCGGATATCTGGGTATGTTGTGGCGAGTGTTGCAACTTCAATTTTAATGGCACCTAAATCCTGAAGTCGGATGATTTCAGCCAGCTTGGGGAGGGCGGAATTCAGCCACGTGGCTTGAGACCCCTGCCAGAAGAGAAAGCGGTCAGCGTGGAGGTGCAAACCCCCGCGTAGCCCAGGAGCTGTGCTTCACCAGCAGTGTCACCAAACTGGCTCCTGGCGAGGGGGAAGGACACAGCTGAGATTTTAGATGCCTCATTGTTTTCAGTGATGTTTCAAGCCCAGACTTTGCCTGGGCCAGCCTTTTAGGAACTGGATTAGTTTTGTGTTGGTTTTTAATCTTCTTACACAAGAGGTGTAGGGTTTGCCAGAAGACCGAGGTTTCCGCATCCACCTCAACAGACTCTGATCTTCCCTCTCATCCTGCTTTCTTTTCCTCGGGTTTCTATGTTGCCCAGGGTGTGTATGAGGTCTGATGGGCAAGGTAATGCAATGGCACATGCTGCTGTCTCCCAGCTTTACACACAGCCCTGCCTTTTGCATCCTCAAGCATTGCCAAAATCGTTTCCCTGCCCGCTCAGGAAAAAGCCCCAGCTGGACCTGTTTTCTGGCTGCTGGATATCCCAAGGCACTGGCTGCCTGACCTCCTGCCCACACCAAGGGATGTTCAGGCTTGTTCCCTCTCCCATGAAACGTACATGGGGTGGTGGAGGACAGGGCTTGACTTTACATTTTTGCAGGCAAATTTAGGAGTGTGAAAGGAGGGAGGTGATCTTGGAGGACAGGGAAAGGTGTCTCAGCCATGCAGAAAACACAAGGGGCTCTGATGGAGGAAACCCTTGTGTACCAGAGACCTCACACACCGCCCATTCCAGCCCCTGCCTCACCTCCAAGCAGCACAGTGAGGGAAATCAAGGGTGAGGGTAAGAGTCAGAATCCAGACTCCTCATGAGTTGTACTGAAACCAGAGAACTGCAGTGTTTAGGTAAATCTTCTGACCCTGCTAATATAAATCTTCAAAAGGAAACCACTGCCTACAGGACAAAGGCGGATGAAATCATGACACTCCATCTGGGGATGGCAGTCTGCTGGTGGGGGAGCCTTCCTGCCTGCAGGCACTTGGAGACCTCTTGCTGCCTAAGATCCCTCCTTCCAGGAAATTAAGCTGAGTTGGAAAGGCTAATGAGAGGCCCCCCCGAAAATTCATTTTCCTGTTTGTCAGTGCTCCCTTGCCCTGTGCTGGTGTGGACATGACGAGCGCTCACGTACATTGCTGGTGCAGAAGGCCTCCAGGTCGGCAGCGTTCTCAGAGATGTGTTGGGCCAGGTTTTGCTGCTGCGCTGGACTTTTCAGGCTGACTTTCTTCTTCAGCAGCCTCACGATGTACTCTTTAACCAAACGGGCATGGATCTTCTCAACGATAGCCTGTTGGAAAGGAGAGGAGGAATGAGCTATCTATCTTTTGCTTGGGGACAAAACAAACCCTGCGTATAGGTGGAGGACAAAAACATCTTGGTAAGACATGCCCCATCAAATGCCTGCTGCTGATCCCACATGAGGAACAGTGCTGATTGCTGACCTCCCCATGATGGTTACACAACATCCTAGATGCCGAGAATTTCTTTGTATTCAACTAATGAAGTGTGGGAATTTCCCGATGTTGTTTCCTTCTGGGAAGAGTTGAAGGCATAGGAAAGATCTAACTTGTGTTAGAGAAGAAGTAGCAGTACTCCAGAGAAACAGGAATTCATGCTGCTCCTCCTGTTCCTCTCTCTAATACACAAAACATCGTAATTTTGTTTCAGCTACTAAAAAGACAAAGGCAGGAAATCAAAGATTTTTTAATATGGTGATGTTTTATATCTACTTCAGTACCACTGAAAATGTGATTGTGGCTCAGTTATCCGGGATTTGTCCCAGTTGTATCCATTTCCTCTGGTTCTTAGGGCAATCAAAGAACCATGAACTGTGTGATTGCACCCATGTTTCAAGGTTGCTAAGCCAAACTCACACATAAATAAAGCCATATTTTGAGTGATCCCTGGCACACTTTCTCTACAACATGGGTGATTTTCCATGAAAACAGGGCAGCAGAGCTACAGGAGAGGTCTCTCTCCCTCTCTCTCCCTCTCCCTGAGAGGTCTTTCCAATGCCAGGCCAGCTCACCAGCTTAACGCAGGTCAAGGCACCTGCAGTTGCAGAGGATCAGAGCTGAAAACTCAGCCTCGGTCTCCCAGAATCCCTCTGTTATCTCTCTTGGACTTACGTGGTAGAAAGGCTCCTTTAGGGTCCGGAAGTCTGAAATATGTTTGCTGGTGGTTTTAATGATCTCGTTCATAATTTCATTGCTGGAGTCCCACTTATTTTCTGTAAACTTCTTATAACTTGGCTGAAAAAAAGGAAAATCTGCTTAGTTTCCTCAAAACAAATTCTATGCACAAGTATATTTAACATTTCTGTAAGTACAGTATCCTACACAGCAACAGTCCCGTGACGTGCAGTCCTGTGCAGGGGTGTGCGACAATGACCTATAAGGGCAGGGGAAGAGGGGGCTGTACTGGGCTTGTGCCCCCTTCTTGGTTCCTCATGATGAAGACTGAGGGCTTGGAAAGGCTCATATTGGAGATTTTTTTTTATTTCCACATTTTTAATCTTTTGCCCACACCATCTTGTCTGATTAGAGAATTAGGAAACCATCAGGGGGGAAAAAAAAAGAATCATTATGAGATGTTTTCAATCATGGTTTTTCTTGGCCACAGTAAATATACATGAAAATAAATAAAGCACCTCTGCTCTGTCAGATGCCTTCTCAAGGGCCCTACAGGGAAAGCTGGTGAGATTGTGGCTGAACATTCCTGACTCCTATGTCTTCCCCTCTATCACACTTGCTTAACTTAAAAAGCTTGTGTTTTATATAAAAGAAAGGAAGAAAAAAAAAGAAAAAGAAAAAAAAAAAGAAAGAAACCAAAGTGCCTTTCAGGACACCTTTATGAAGAAGCCAAAAGCTGTGTAATTGCAGTTCATGCCATTTTTGATTGCTTCCTACAGTGCGGAGTGTAAACACTGGCAGGTCGAGACTCTCCCTCCTGCAGCAGTTCTCTCAGCTGCTATCAGATCAGTTTATGTTCCTCTGCACCGTCGTGCCTCTGTGACTGTGCCCGTTGTGCTCCCAGGCTTGAGGACCAGCTCAAGGAGAGGGGATTCAGGACCAGCTCAAGGAGAAGGGATTCAGTTCTCTGACTGATGCCAAGCGCTGTCCTGCTCCACAGCCCTCCTGAACTTTGCTGCACTGGAATCAGAGATTTGGGGAGGGCTGAGCCATGGGCAAGAGGGTGTGGGGTGCGGGTACGGTACCTTCAGCTGCGCAAACAGCTGCTGAAGCAGCACGTCGAAGCCGCTGTTTTCGATGTCGCCAAGAGTGCCGAGGATGTGGGCTTTATTGTCGTCGTTCTCTGCCATGTTTTTCTGCGCGTAGTCTCTGCAAGGAAATAGCAGCAAGGTCAGCATAATCTGTCCTCAAAAGAGAGAAGGTCTCCAAACCTTCCTCTGCAGGCAGACGGACCCTCCTCTGCTCACCCCGGAGCACCTCTCGCACTATTATCCATTGCCTGCAGAGGAAGGAGCAAAGCCTTTTGTTTTGGACCCTCACCTAAAATTCCAGCAGTTGTTAATATTTGCAATCAGGATAGGCTTGTAGTATCTGTGCTTCTTGCTCTTCTCCTTAAAGTCTTCAAAAGCATCCTTGTAGCTGGAGGGGAGACGGAAGAGAAGAGGCGGATGAGCCCCCGCCCAGGGGGCTCTGGCAGCCCAGCTGCCCACCCTGCCTTACCGCACCTTTTCAGGAAGGCAAGCAGCTCCTTCGACAGGCGATGCGACAGCTCCTCGCCCACTGCTGCGCTGATGTCCTGGGCTCGCTCCTGGCCGCTGTAGATACTCTAACAAGCAAACAGACAACACGATCAACTTTAAATGCTGCCTGCTCCAAAAAGGCCAGGTTTGCTGGTTAAAAAGGTGACAGATCCCAAACTGTGGTAACCGCAGCCCTCCCTGCGACTGAGCCAGGGATGTGCAGAGCAGCATTGCTTATTTGGTGGGTTCCAGCCAATTTTGACCTCCATCTTCAAATGCAGAGAGAGTTGAAGAAAGCAGCATTAAAGAACATCTATAAAACAGCTGAGAAAGTGGGGAAAGCGACACTTGAGTTTTTTGCCTTTTTTGGCTGAATGTCATATGATTGCAATAAAAAACCCCATAATTTAGGTACAATCACCTAAGTATAAAAAAGGTTTATTTTTACAAGATAAACTCTGCTAGTCCTCTGCAGCCAGAGGAGGGAGAGTGTTGAACATGGGGAAAGAGCAGGAGCACTCGGAGCAGCCCTGCCCATGACAGTCCCCCTGGGAGCAAGCTGGGCAACAGCTCTGTGCTGCGTCCGCGCTTGGCAGGTTTAGCCTCCTGCGTCCACTGTTACAAGACCCAGCACCTAATGGCTTGGCTTCAGCTCAGGGTGCAGGAGAGACCGCACAGGGAGAAACAAAGGCAGCTTTCCTGCTCGCTTTGCTTACAGAGGAGCTTGTCTCCAGCACACGGTAGACCAGGACCATGCCAGACCATGGGGCAGGGCTCCCCTTTACCACCCACCTCTGCTACTGCCCTGCACCAGCGACCTGGCCTTTCGCTCTCCTGAATCAACTATAGTTAGTCTCATACTCTAAATACAGGCAGGATGCAACCGTTCATTTTTAATATACACCTGGATTACCTGGATAACAAATATTGCTAGTAGCTCACTCTGAAAATGTCCATTTAGTTTCTCTGGTTCTTTGTCTTCTTTCCATCTCTGGATTTCTTTATCTAAACATTTGCTCAGTGAATTCTTGACAGTAGCCTTTAGGGAAGGAAAACCAACAGCATTTGTCACAAAGTGGATGTAGCAGCTCCTGCCTTATCCAGGTTTTACTTGCTCACCCATCATTTGTCTGGCTGAGCAGACATTTTCCTCGGCCCTGGCTGAGAAATAAAGGGTCTTTGTTATGAGACACCTTATCCCTGTGCAATACCGAGTTGGATATTTCAGTGTAGGAGTGAACATCTACGTCCCTGCCCGTAATATCAGTGTTGATCTCAAGGGCAGGGCAGGAGAGTGATGGGTAAGAAGGTCACAGGCAGCTACCAGTGCTAGAGCCCAAATTCCCCCAGCCACGCGTTGACTGTGTGTCCTAATCAGTGCTACCCTCTGGGCCTGGTTTTGCAATCCTTTTTCATAAGCACTTCTGACGTCTTATGAGCGCTGGTGAGTGAAGCCTGTTCTCAGGCTTTCTGACCCCTCCTGCGTGCACACTGTGCAGCCACGCTTTTGAAACGGTCTCCGCAGTGGCTTGCACGTACCTCTGATCACCAAGTGCCGTGTTCATGCGGTCTGTAGCCCTCACACCCTCCTCTCCATCTGCAAACCATCAGGGGCTACAGCTAAACCTGGAACTCGTTTTCTCATTTTCCAGGAATTCCAGCCCCAAATGCCAAAAGCACTAAGCTATGGGAGTACTGTAAAAGTTGCCTCTTGTATCCATTAAGGCAAGAGTGATCCAAAAACCAGAGCAATTGTTATTTTCTGCAGACCAGGTGATTCTCCACTAAAGAAACACATTTTTCAAGAGCAGACCTGCATGCTTTGTGCTCATCCAAGGTCGGGCACCTCTGCAGAGACCTGAGATAATTCTGAATCCATCATCTGCGAGAGGGAGCATAAATCCCTCTGGGATTTAAAAGAGAACTGCAAAGTTACCCATAAAGAAGTGTTGGATTTTTTCCCACCTTCCTACCACAAGCTCTGCAAGAACAGGATGGCTCCCAGGGCTAACAGGAAGTTTGTTCTGCAAGTCCCATCAAGCAGAAAGCCGACCTGTCCCCCCCAGAAGAAACAAAAGCATTCTTGCTTTTGCTTGTCTCTGGAAGGGTGTGTGACTCACAGCTGAGAAGTGTGCATGCAGGGCAAGTCAGAGCTCCTTCAAGGAGTCATATGGGAACAGTAAAGGGAAGAGGAGGGACTGAACAGATTCTCACCTCTTCACTGTCAAGGTATTTCTCTTCGAGTTCTTTGCTCAGACTTGATGGCAAAAGGCTTCCAAGCTTAACTTTGTCCAACTCCGCGGCTAAAACATGATCTTTTCTCATGTCTCTGGAATGAAAAAGCCAAACAAATTCATTTTCCAAGAGCAGTGTAATTCAAGACAGCTGTTGATGCAACGCACTAACAATTTTTGAGGCTATCAGTGAAAAAACAGATGGAAATGTACATTGTCCTTAGTCCAGCCAGGACTTGGAAGAGCTGAATCTGTGCCAAGGGTAGGACCTGTGAGGATGGGACCGCAAGCAACCCAGGGGAACGAAGTCACATTCTGGTACAGGGGACGAGAGCAGCAGGAGGGACTAGTCCCAGGACATGGCCTCTCTCCATCGATATAGCAAGGGGATCAGACAGAAAGATGTCATTTTGTGGCTATCTGGGAATGGAGTGGGCAGTTCCATACTCTGCTGTCATGTCCTCATGGCATGCCAGCTCAGCTGGGTGCTCCCGAGCAGCTTTGAGGGAAGGGACCTGCCAGCCGTGGGGGGCTCAGGCCAGCACTTGTGGGGAGGCTGATTTGGAAGCAACCTCTCCCTCTGGAGCTGCGGAGAATAACCCTGAGCATCGCCTGATTTCTCTGTTTGCACATGACCCAGCTCCGTGGGGGTACACTGCCGTGCTTCCCACACATTGGCTCTTTCTGGTAGGATGCTGGAAGCTGGGCCAGGCTGTTGTGCAACCCTCCTCCTCACTGCTCCCTTCACTGCTGGCCATGGAGAGGTGGTCCCTGAGCAGAGACCTGGATCTAGCCCCTGGGAACACCTTGTTAAGCAGCTGCTGCCCTGGCCAACAGCATCCACAGCAATGGGCTGCGCTGCTCCAGTGAGCCCTGGTCCTCACAGCTACTGATTTCCAGACACACACTGGTTCAGGCCTGAATATCCTGACCTAAAGCACAGCACTGGCTCTGGAAAACTTCCAGGATCTGCACTGACTCATTATACTCGGTCAGTGAAACCTGAGGATGAACAAGTGAAGGTGAAGGCTTTAGAACACCAGAAGAAACACTGCTGGTGTATTTACTGGCTTTCACCTAAGAAATGAGAGCCCTTGAATCTCCATCCAGTGCTATAGGCCACAGCAAGGCACGGTTTTAGTTCTACAGTGTATAGGGCTTGCAAGCATGAAAGGCAACCCTTGGCTGATGATGTCATTTCACAGGGGTGCACCTTGTGGTCTCCCAGCCCAGAGGAGAGCACAGACTGTGGGTAGTGACTAAGAAACATCCTCCATGCCCAGGATAATTGCACCTTGGTTGTTCTATTCATTGGCTGCCCTCTGGTTCAGAGGGTTGAAATTTCCAAATTTTCCAAGGATGAGTTCAGGTCTACAACTGGAAATAGAGATCAGGGCAATGAACCTGCCCAACTTACCCCACAAGTGAAGACCTAAACATCTGTGTGCATGATGTGGCCCAGAAACCTGAATGGTGGGATGAGCTCTTGGTTTAGAGAGTAGCAGCCTTGAGTGTGCCCCTTCCAACTCTCCTGGTCAGCCAGTGTACACCAACACAAGGCCAGCGACACTAAAACCTACCCAGGCACCAGACTGCATCGCAGTGATGCCGATTCACAAATCAAGCAAATGCCTGGTTTGCAGCCACTGAACTAGTATTGATCACCAGGGATAAACATGTGTAAAAGTCTCACTTACTTTGGATATATGTTGTGCACCCAGGAGAGGAGGAGGTAAATATCCTTGTCTTCCAGATGCGATTCAGCATTTTTCTTCGCCTGGGAGGCAAAATAATTGTGGTAGAGTTCTGCATATGTGCTGAACACATTAAACTCCGGAGGATAAAGCTGTTTAATGTACTTTACAACTACTGTCAAATCTTCTTTCATTGTCTTCCCCATGTGCAGGAGGTTCTGGCCAGCTGTAGAGAGGTTCTCAGTTCTAGGAGTACGGCTGGTGTCTTTCATTCGAGTCTCTACCGACTCCTTTACTGTAGCCATCCAAAGCTCTTTCCAATTTCTAGGTCTAAATTGCATGTTTTGGTCAGGTGGATTCTCTGACATGTAGCTCTGATCTTCTTTCTCCTGCTCTTTCAGTGCCTCTACTGCCTGCTGCAGCAGTTCGGGGTTTGTTTTTGCCAGCAGCACGGAGTCTTTTAAGATGCTGAACACTTTGTGCTTTAGAACTGCATAGACAGACTCCACATCTTGCTGGCTGGTGTTTAGTCCCTCCTCACCTTTGCTAGACAGGCTTTTCTCCAGGATAATCAGATACTGAGCAGCGTCGCAAAGCTTTTGCTCTTCGAGGAGATCCATGATTTGTTTGACTGGTGAAAGAAGAACAGCCTTTCTTTATCCAATAGAGAAGACTAAAATTTCTATTTTATATAAACTTATGGTCTGGAATATTTAAAAAAAAAGTTTGTATTTCTCTAATGCTAGATCTTCAGCTCCTTCACCATATAGAAAATCTCTTTCTTTAAAGATTATTTCTAGCTTGCCTCTACCTGGGACAATGAAAATTGGAATTCTAGCACCACTGTGTTTCATCTGGACAGGTTTTCATGTGCTACCCATTATTTTTCCAAAATTTAGATTTGTGAGGGATTGGGTTTTTATTTATTTATTATCCTGCTTCCCATTAATATGACCTCAAGAAAGAAGCATGGCTTTAGAAATAAATGTAGATGGAAAGATACAACTAAACAAGATGTGCTATAGGAAATACCCCATGAGCTTTCCAGAAATAGGTTGGCACAATCTGACCTGTGAAATTTTTTTGGAGGACACATTTAGCGGGCAAGTTAAATACAACTGAACTATCTTATCTGAACTGCAGCTAGTTACTCAATATGGTTCAATCTGGGAAATTATGAATTAAACTGGAGGAGTTACATCCCCACATAGATTTTGTTAGGTATATAAGGTTTCTATGGGAAATGCTGGGTGGAGAAAGCTTACATTACTCATGAAACTAATTTTACTTCATATTCTCTTTCAAGACTGTGGCACAGAAGCTGGGAGGGCCCCACTGGCATCTGATGATTACACAAAGTTCAGAGACAGTATCGAAACCGAGGGCTCGGTTTATCGTACAGGAACAACAGGATAACTGGAATAGTCAATGGGCTGAAACTTAATAGCCCAAAGTATACGATACAAATTCAATAGAACAAAAGTTACTTAGCAACAAATAGGATTTTCTGCTGCAATCTGAATGTGAATCATCTTGGAAATGGAGGAAGAAGACAGATGTCAGGAAAATCAGTAAATCATTACTGTGAGATGGTGGTGAAAATGTCAGTTATGACCCCAGGATGTATCCAGTGAGGAATGTCCCACTGAGGTAGGAAAATGGTAACTTATTATACCAGGCATTGGTGGTATCTCATCTGGATTATTTTCTGCAATTCTGGTTGCTTTATTTCAGAAGAAAGGCATTGGGAATGGGGCAATGCAGCAGTGAGAACAAAGGCACGAAGGGCCCGTTTTCAGTAGACTTGGTTCATTTAGCTGAACAAATTCATGGTTGAGAAGGAAAACCACCAGTTAGGGAAAACATCTGACACATGGAGAAGGAGACACCAATGAGCTGGATAAAGGCTTGCCCAAACATGAGATAATCTGTACTAAAGCAGTGAGACTTTAAGAGCCCCCCAGTAAAGGAGGTAGGGCTAAAAAGTGTACTTATTTTAAGGTACAGCTCATTAATTTTATGAACCAGGTAATGAGATATGTCATCTGAGAGGAGGTGGCAGGTGAGCCTTGGAAACGCCAAGGGGCATTCCTCTCCAGTCCTGGGTTTCTCTGAGTGGGTATTTTCCTGCCTCTCTAAGCACCCTGCAGGGACGGTGCCCGCAATCAGTGGAGCTGTATGTTCAGATATCAGCTCCAGACCTACGTGTGCTGCTTGCTGCTGTCCCTGGGGGAAGAGGAGATTTCACGGGTGGGTGGCTTCATGGAGGGACAGAGCAGGGAGGTATGCTTTGGCTTCTCACCCATCCCCAGATCTCTGTGCCACCATGAAAGGCATAAATAAGTTTCGTTTTGGACAGACAACCTGCAAACTGGCAGTTCCTCAAGGAGTGTGCCCCTGGTACCAGTGGAACAGGACTTGAGGTCATGTCCCACTCAGCTCATGGTTTCCCCAGGTCCCCTGGGCAAGTCACTTCAACCTGTCAGTGCCCTTGTTGCTCAAGGGGACAATTCTCCACCTCGTGCAGCCCCTCTACAGGTAACTGTGGCTGATGAGGTGGTGCAAGGAGGATGGAGGAACACTTACCGCTGGGTGGTTTGGTCTTTTTTATCTTCTTAAATGCATTGGTAAGGATTTCCTTTATTCCTTTCTTCCCCTTTTCAGGGCTGTCCCCAGCAGAGGTGCAGCTCCCATTGCTCGTGATGGAAGATGCACGGGAGGGTCTGTAGGCTTGCTCTGGTCTTTCACTCATCTTATCCTGGTTCCTGGACCAGACCTCGTCTCCAGAAGGTTCAGGACAGGCAGAGACTTGAGCAGCTACTGATGATGAAGTGTTTGCACCAATGCAACCCTCTGATCCATTGCGTATTCCAATAGGACCACTTTGGAAAAAAGGTAACATTTTCATCATTTTCCTGCTAGCCTGCAAATTTCAGAAAGAACTGGTCAGATTATAACAGTTTACATTAAAATTACCATGGCACAACTTGTCAAGATGTATTCCCATTAAAAAAAACCAAAACAAAACCAAAAAACAACCAACAATTTTGTAAGTTGTCCCTGTGTGCGTACCGTGGGGAATGCCACACACATTAGGTAGGAGCACAGCTCTGCGGGAGAGCTCCTGAGCAACATCACCCCCGGTAACCAGGAGGATGGAAGCAGCTCTCTGGTCTAATAAATAACTTAAGAGAAAATCGATGAGTGATTTTAAGGGTGATTCAGATGACCTGATTTGAGACTTTGAGCTTGTCTGGATACAGGAGAGCAGGACTCTCCCACAGGATGCCGTGGGAGTACAGACGTGAGCATGGATGCTGCACATGAATGATGAGGGGGGCGGGGGGAACAGGACACAAGCATCCTGTGCCTATTCAGAGCAACCACGAAACTTTATACAGCATCAGGATCAATTCCAACCTTCCTTAGGGCCTATTTTTGGTGATCTCTGTTCATCTGGCTGTAGACCTGTCTGTGGAAGCCCATGTAACTCCTCGCATACTGAGTTTGCAAGTACAGCATGAAAATGTACCAAACCAGGTATGCAGCAATCTCTGCTGAGCTCAAGTCCTGCTGGTTTAACTCTGTTCCCCTTGAAGTCAGGAATAAAGTTCTTAGCTTCACAGGGGAGGAGAGCTCCCAGAGAAGATGGCCAAGAGCTCAGAAACATCAGGACTGTGAAAACCATGGCTGACAGGATGGGAGTGCGGGAAGCACAGCAGTATCTCCTGATGTGAACATCACTAGGTTTATAATTTTAGGTCCAAAAATCCCAGTAAGAAGCATGGCTTCAATGCTTTACGTGCTGCCTGCATCCCTACGGTGGCAGGCACAAGCTCAAGGACGCATTCAGACCCTTCAAACCCAGTCACAGTCTATGTAATCTCATTTTTAAAACAGCCCCAAGGTGACAACAACATCCCAAACAAGTCAACTTCAGTGCAGCTTGTTGCAACTTTGGTATGACTTGTTGGGCGTTCTCAAATCCCTGGGAGCAATTATTACTCCCATCTGTCTATGTTGAAACGTGAGGCTGAAGCGCAAGATGTGGCTTGTGCAGAAAGAAATACTAGTGGAACGGGGTGGTGGAGGGGGCAAGGTTCTGACAGCAGGGGATAACCAGACTGGACTTTTCCCAAAGCTGCTAAATGAAACTGGTGCTCATCCAGAGCAGTCTTGGCCTGGCTGAGGGGGAACAGGAATGTGGCACCAGAATCAGGCTGGTTTAGCCTTATTTAACCAGACACTGTCCTGACAGTCTACTACCAACACTCTTGCACTAGAAATAATTAACAATATAAACTTGTATTGTAACAACATAATTTTACATTTATATTTAGAATGATTTATGTCCATGTATTTATGTACATTTAATATGTTGCTGGAAATGTATCTGCATAATTATATTAATTTCTATAATGACTATAATTATGTAATTGCTGTAAATAAAGTGACTCATAGCTTCCAATCCTTGATCTAACAATGCTTTTTTTTAAGTGACTTTCTGGGAGACCAATGCACTTCTGTATGAACAACTCTCGGGCATGTTCTGGCTTACTTGTACTGCGTAAGGGCGGAGGAATTAGGCTTTAAATAAAGGAAGAATTTGGCTTCAGTTATAGGGCCACAATGTGGTGACCTTCAAATACCCTTGTTAAGTTCATACTGCTGGTATGTATCACGCCGATACAAGCTGTGATACTTCTGAGCAAACTGGTTGGAAGACTGTGTGCTCCTGCTGGCTCCCGTCAGCTTGGAGAGCTTCGAAGCATCAAGTTAGCGGTGATACAGCTGGGTGATATAGAGAGCTGAAAGGCTTTCCTTCTCCGTGCTGTGGCTGCCAGGTCACGTTCAGGATTAGTAATGCTGTTGCTTTTAAAGACAATGAAGATGAAAACTCATTCGGGAAGGAGAAGAAGGGGTGTGGGTGTGCATGATCTGGCTCGCTCTCAGCCAAACTTGTGGTCTGTGACCCAGGGCAAAGGGTGAAGCTAAACCTAGTGTCCTGCTGCCAGAGCAGGACGGCAGTGGCTGCCAAGAGGAGTCAGAGCCCTCGTGCCCCAGGGATCAGGGCTGGTCCCAATCCCTGGGGGTGAGCAAAAGGGCCAGAGCACCAGAGCTGCCCAGTGGCACGTAGTCACAGCTGGAGCTTCACACCTACCTCTCCCCCTAGCACCGGTATTGGGTTGGGGAGGGAGGAAAAATCCCTGCCACTCACTCCAGCTACTCTAGTCAGGATGCCCCATTAAAATCCTAAAACTGGTGGAAAAGAGCTTCTTTTTCTTTCATTCTCATTAAAAAGATATCACGGCAACCAGGGTTCTCTAAGTGTTTGGGACTTTCCTAATTTTTTTATAGGGCTATTTTCCTAGCCTGCATTTCCCAACATAAGGCTGTGTTTAGATTAATTCTGCCAAATCCCTTCCTTCCTGTTTATTCAAGCAGACTCAGCAGAGACCTTTCTCCTTCTCCTCTTATTCTGAACAAAGCATTTACTGTTCTTTCTTTTTTGTTGTTGTTGTTTCTAAACAAGGAAAGCATCTCTCTATTTCCTATAGCCAAAGGTGACTTCTGGGGTCTTTTGATGAATGATGATCAGAAAGGTGGATTTCAAAATGGTTTTGCTTCTTCCTTAATGCTAAGATGAATGTAATTTAACTTTGAAAATCACTGAAGTGAAACTATACATGAAAGTGTGGGTGAGGAAAAGATTAAGCTGCTTAAAAGCTTAGTTTTTAAATGGCTAGCAGAACTTTGTCCTGGTAATGCTCTGAAAGGGCTGGACATGGGGGTGGCCGTACCCAGGAGGGAAGCAGCTGGCTGGCCATGTACTGCCACGGGCTGCAGCCTGGGCGAGCCCCCGTGGTCTCTCTGTGGAGTCCACCAAACCATCATCTGCAATATGTCCCTACGCCCTGACCTGCCAAATAAAGTCCCACACCTAAATTAACAGATAAAATCAGATCCAGTGCTCTCGCATGGCGCTGCACATCTGCAGCGTGAGAACTGTGGGCAATATTGGCATGTCAGGGCGTGCTTTTTCTTCTGGAACAAATAAACACTGAAGGAGTTAAGCACTGGCGGAGCAAGGCTATCAGTGCAATAGCTGCCATGCTCCCTCACATTTGGCCAGCTTGAATGCTCGCCCAGTGTTTGTCAGTTTGCTGCTGCTGGTTTGCATATGTTTTTGTCTGCATCAGGAAATAGCAGCAAAGCCCAGCGCTCAGCCTCAGTCACTTACAGCAAGTGATCCCTTCCTTTCCAGCTCTACCCTTTATCACAAAACAGCCAAGCACTTGCTGTAAGAAACGCCTATAAGGAGCTTCCTATAAGAAACTTGCTTATAGAAAACAAACCACTTTCCACAAGAAACAGCTAAAAGGAGGTGGCACTGGTTATGGCTGGAGGTCACGAGCAGGAGATGCTCCTTGTGCCCCCCCTGCCCCCAGCATCTGCTCCTGCCCGCTGTGGCAGATGGGACACACTGGGAATTCTGCTCTGGCTCCAGTGGCCGTGGGCTGCTCCTGCACATTTGTGTTCTGCTCATAAATCAGAGCTTGCTAAAACTACAGCAGACTCCAAATTACCTTAGCAGTTAACACTTTGGGAAACGCTGAGTCGTTTCCCAGGCACAGAGCTCAAATTCAGGTCTTGGGAAATATGCTGATTTAAGGTCAAGACTTGACACAGATCCCAACTCATTATTATTACTAATTTCCTGTTAATTTACTGCTATCATCATCCTCATTATTATTATGTGGCACTAGAATTTGTGCCTGGGGAGGCTTTAGCTCAAATTTTTTTTTTTTTTTTTTTTACACAGCGTGTTCAGCTTGCAGTTTCCAACCAGAGGAGCAGCACAGCACGCGTACCATTCTCTGCCACGCTATACGAGGGGCCTGGACCACTGGGACAGCAGCGTTGCCGACTGCCGGCGTGGCTGGAGAGGCACCCAGGGATGCAGACCTGCCGGCTCTACAGGCAAGCTGTCCGCACTGTGCCCATCACGGTATGTACCCCCGGGCTGGAGCCTTTCCAGAGTGAGCGGCAAGGCCAAGGGGAACACCTGGAGCAGAGCAATGACACAGAAGGACACAACCCGCACTCTGGGCCTGGTAAATTCCCATTTTCTCCTTTTCCACCCCAAAGTAAACAGCCTTAATGCCACATGCTTAGGGTGGCTCATGGTGTGCCAGGGAGCACTCGGTGGAAGAGATTTACTAATCACGCCTATTCTGAAATTTTTTTGCTGATCTTTTCCTTGACTTCTTTTTCCTGAGCTGCTGCCAATATTAACAAGCATTTGTTTGGATTTTTAGTCCTCTCCAGCCTGCTGACATCCTAGGTCACAAGGATTTATGTCTCGTTTTAGTGGAAATCCCTCACACTCCTGCAGTCTTTCAAAAATACAGTTATTTAGCAAAATTTGTTCTCTGCACTTGTGTCGGCCTTTTCCTCCACACACACATCCTCCCCCCATTTCTCCCAATGGGAGTGGGGTCACCCCTAACCACACAAGAAAATCACACTGGGTCAAACCATCTTGTTTTGGGGGCAGTAAAGCAATGCAGCCAATCTGAATTTTGTGTACCTCAGACTACGCGGTAACACCTAAATAAGCTGCTAACAAATCAAACCGAAGAGCCTATGGAGATGCGAGTCCCAACCTTTGCAAGCTGGGAAGGCCTCCTAGGAGGTGTTTTTTTCCTACCAATTTTTATTAGAGGGATTGGGTACTGAATGGAGACACCATGAAGCTGGGGGGGTCACACTTGGCTACGCCTGGGAAACCACAGTCCACAGACAAGCTGGGCCACCAACAGCCCCACCTTGAAATTTCACTGTGCTGCTCAAATCCACGCTCCTGTCTGTGGACAGGACACCCACCACCCATGTGGTCCAGCACCACCC